ATTCATTCCTTAGCTAAAGACTAAAATGAAGTTATGAAGACTTTTATAAAATCTCCTTGTAAGATTGGTAGCAGTAAAATAAATCTAGAGGCTCACCTTTGCCATCACGAATGCGGCGTTTTATTAGGCGCCCATCTCCAAGCATGTCCCTCACCTGATGATATATTACTAAGATGAAATTTCATATGATTAACATCTTGGTAAGAAAAAAAAAATTATAAATGCAAGGCATGTTTCAGACACTCTAGCAATAATATGAAGGATAAAATTCAGGTCTCGGAATAGGCTTCCAAAGACAAGCCAGTGTGGCTAATAGTCAAAACATGACCTCTAGACACTGAAAAATATAATGAGGTACTCCTATTTTTTTATTTTTTTTATAGGCAAATGTTAGTTGTTAGGTTGTTAGTGGGAGGAGTTGAACCTATAACCTCTCCCACCCTCCCTTCAAACCCTTCAAACCAACATTATATCTCCAAAATGTTAGTGGGGAAGTTAAACCCACAACCTCTCCCACCTTCCCTTCCAGCTTTTACCATTAGACCAACCTTATAGCTCCTAATGAGGTACTCCTATATGACTGTCAAACATAAAACCATAATTACAAGTCCTAATAGCAAATCAGTTAGTGCTTCCATCCATAAAAGCAACCAAATATATAGGTTAAAAATTGGTTATGGGCACTCAGGATAGAAGAAAGTCATATCAGTGAATGCCTCATAACTCCTATAGTAGATAACAAAGAAGAATGCTGAGAAAAGTTTACTCTCCATCACATTATAATATTTATTACTACACATACATGCCACAACAAACAAGTTCAATAATAAACCATGATTTCTATTGCGGACGGTGTTGCTCACCTGAATAAAGTGAACCAGATCCACTTCAAAATGCACTTCATCATACTCTTCTATTACAGGCATCAAAGGAGACTCAGTTAAATACTGAGTGGTAACATATATAACAGCCTTCTCTTCCCGAACCATTGTTCCTATTGCCATTTCAAGGCCCTTAGGTAGCTGATTTGTTTAAAGAACAGGACAAAGAAATCAATATTAATATTAAAGCATTTTGAAGATATTGCAAGCACAACAATGACTACGAAATTACTTGTTTCCTTGTCATTTTTATTTATTTTAAGGTTGCTACATGGCTGGCTGTGATCAGCAAATAAGAAAAAAAACATGGCACTTAAGATTAATAAAAGAGAAAATATATTTTA